GTGGCTCACACCTGTAATCCCAGCACTTTGGGAGGCTAAGGCAGGAGGATCACTTGAGCCTGAGAAGTTGACACTGCAGTGAGTTGTGATTGGACCACTTCACGCCAGACTAGGCAGCAGAGCGAGAACCTGGCTCAAAACAAAAACAAAGAAAGATTAGGATCAGGAAAACATTCACAAAGGTAGCACTTGAGTTAGGGTGAGGAACTGGGTAAGTAAGGATTGAGAGATAAAGGCCAAGGCACGGAAACTGAAGTGAGCAGAGGGCTCATATAAGTGAGAATATAGCATATATGTAAGCAGGGAACAGTGCCTTTGGGTTTTGTGTAGGCTGGGAGCGGGAGGGGGTAACATAAGATGGTAAACTATTAGAAATAAATCATGGGGACCTTGAGTATTGGACTCAGGGCCTCATTCTGTATGAATGGAACTGGGCCTCATTCTGTATGAATGGAACTGTTGAAGGCATGTGAGTAGTACTACATTTTCATTTTTTAAAATGTTATCTGCAACAATATTTAAATACATTAGGAGAATAAAAAGATTGAGACCAGGCACAGTGGCTCACTCCTGTAATCACAGCACTTTGGGAGGCCGAAGCAGACAGATCACTTGAGGCCACGAGTTTGAGACCAGCCTGGCCAACATGGTAAAACCTAAAAATACAAAAATTAGCTGGGTGTAGTGGTGCATGCCTGTAATCCCAGCTACTCGGGAGGCTAAGGCACGAGAATCGCTTGAAGCTGGGAGACAGAGGTTACAGTGAGCTGAGATTGCACCACTGTACTTCAGCCTGGGCAACAGAGCAAGACTCTGTCTCAATAAAAGAAAAAGAAAGAAAGAAAAGATTGAAAATCCAGCCAAAAGGTCCACTCCACAAGCACAGGTACATGGTTTGTTACCAAGTGTCCAGGTCCTAGAACATAATTGGCCCTCAATAAGTGTGTGGTGATTGAATATATGGTGCCTAATGAAGGGCAGAGGGACATCTAGTTAGAAATGTGTAGGAAATAAAGTCCAGAATAGGACTCAGAATAAAAGTTAGCAACTGGTATTAACAAGGATTTCGGAGTTGTCTGCAACTAATTGAATTCTTGAGAAATATGTAAGATTGTAGAGGAGACAGGGTGAACAGGCTAAGGGGTGGAGGCTCAATAACTCCTACAGTTATGGCAAATGTCAAGGAGAAAGCACTGAGAGAGAATAGCAAGCAGGGATCAGAAAGGTGGCTCAGGAGATCTGTTGGCCCAGAAGCCAAAGGAGCAGAAAAGAGAATTACCCATTTGTGCATGTCCAGCTTATAAATATTTATTTTGGATTTTGAAATTGAATCCTTTTTTTTTTTAAGCAGACTAACTTTGCAGATTTCATGGATTCTAGTTATCCTAGTGTTAAAAATTATTTTAACAGGTAGGTAAGACTTAATGTTGAAAGGATCAAGGTCAAATGGGGCAAGTAAAATCCAAGCATATCCCAGAAGCATGTTAAATGTGGGCAAATTTCAGGATGGCATTCACATATTTTGGAATTTAACATGCAGTTCTTTTAGACTTCTCCTTACTACATCATTGAGTTAAATATGTAAATTTTAGTACATTATATGTAGTAGTTAAGCAACAGAATAATTATGTCACAAAATTGTTTACTTTATGAATTCATTTAGTGTAATGTCTCTATTAGTGGCCTACCCTGGGATATTTTAAGTGATTATATTAAGTTTTATTTCTGGACAATTTTTCTGGAACTTATTTTGCCTAAAGCAGGCACACAGCTCAGTTAAAATAAAAAAAAAATACATAAGCTCAAAAATAGGCATTGGTTTCTTACTACTTTATGGCTTTAAAAATCATTCTGAATCCTCTTACTGGAGTGTTTACTACACCAGCTAGCAGTAGGACTTAACATTACATTTTCATTTTGATTAACTTGACTGCAGTTGTTTCTTGGCTGCCTCTTTAGAGCCCACTGTGGGATAAAATTAAAACAGTTTTTATGATACAACAATTGAGTTGCAGAAAACAACATGTTTTTCCCCCTGAATGGCAGTGTGTTCTGCCTCTGGGTTTTCTGTGTACACCCCATGGCTCTGGTTTCTCTCTTCTCCAATCCACCTTTTAGAGTTCCACCAGATTAATTTTTCTAAAGCAGAGCTTTGGCCATCTTCTCATCCAAAACCCTTCAGTGGTTCCCCTTTGCCTCTCTCTTACCTACGCCCAGCTCATTCTTCAGAGAAAGAGCAGCTCACATGCTGTATTTGCCCTTTCACATTTTTCTTGATCTCCTCTGCTGGAATCCCGATCTCTGCTCTGCATTTCTTATTCCTCTTGCATAGCACTCATCATGGCTTCTCTTATGTAAAATTACATAGGAACCCACCTCACCCTCAAGAATGACTTCTTGAATGTAGAGACCAAGTCTTCTTTATATTTTTGCCCACTTGCTCATTGCCATTTGCATAAAAAATAATAAATGTTTGTTGGATAACGAATGAATGTTTGTTGGAATAGTTAAAAATAAATGTGTGAACTGTCCCCTGTTCTAGATAATCCTGATCCTCTTACCCATTACTTCCCCCACCCAGCATCTCTCACCTTCGAATTAATTTGTCATTTAATTACTTATTTTTGTTACTGGTATTGGCTGTTTTCTCCCTGTTGGATAGTAAGTGCCCTAGGGCAGTGATCTTGGGTTTGTTCACTGGTGTGTGCCTAGCACTCGGAACAGTGCTTGTCATATTGATTGAGGGAATGAATGAAACTTGAAGCCAAAGGTCAGTTTCTCCCTGTTCTTTGGATTATTGTCAGTGGTTTTCAAGGTAAGGGACATTGTGGCATTGGAAGAGCAGGAAAGAGATGGAGAGAGACCCCAGAGTCAGCTTCTGCCACTTACTAAGCTGTGCAGTTTTGGGCAAGTTTCTCGACTCCTCTGAAGGTCATTTCCTAATTCGTTAAAGGTTAATATAACTTGAATTACAGTATTTATAGAAGCATTACATTTTAGGGGGAAAAAAGCATACCATAAAATTAATACCTTATGTGTCCTGATCACTGCTAATACCTGCTAGACCTGGTGCTACACACTTTCCATTCACTGTCTCTGTGCATCTCCACATCCACTCTGTGCAGCAGGGCCTGTTGTATTAAGAACCCTGTCTCACAGGTGACAGGAGGAGGTTCCTGCCCAAGCCCACACCGTGGTGGGTAGCAGAACATCACTTGAGACCAGGTCTGTGGGACTCTAAACCTGCTGCTTGTAACTCCTGCAGCAGGTTATAATGATTTCTCCTTTGGAGCAGCAGTTCTAGATTTTTCCTTCTTGCCCTAAGGTGGTTGAGGGATACAAAGGGCTCATGAGTACCACTGGCCCCCAGGCAGTATCTTTCTGAAAAAAGGAGGCCACATCTTCTCAAGAGGTGATGGACAGCAGAGCCTGGTTTGAAAAATCCCCCCTGATGAATTGGATTCTGCCCCTCCTGCTAATGTACCTCTACTTCCAGATCTGTTTCTTTTCTCTCCCTGTCCTCTTATAAAGTTTTTAACTCTTTGTATTTTGTACTATAAAGTATTCCTGCTTTGAGACTGTTTTAATCTTTTCATTTTATTTTATTTTATTTTATTTTTATTTTTTAAGACATAATCTTGCTGTGTTACCCAGCCTGGAGTGCAGTGGCACAATCTCAGCTCACTGTAGCTTCCACCTCCCAGGCTCAAGCGATCCTCCCATCTCAGCCTCCTGAGTAGCTGGGACTGCAGATATGCACCACCACACCTGGCTAATTTTTGTTTTTGTTTTTGTTTTTTTTTGTAGAGATGGGGTTTTGCCTTGTTCCCCATGCATGTCTCAAACTCCTGGACTCAAGCAGTCCTCCCAGCTGGAGTGCTGGGATTATAGGCATGAGTCACTATGCCAGGCCAAGACTGTTTTAAAGGTTGTTGCATTACTGTTTTGGAATCAAATTAGATAGTTTAGGTTGGGATAGCCGAGTTGATCATTACAGTCTCCTCTATTTATTGCAAAAGTACTGAAACTTTTAATAATTTTTGAGAGATCTATAAATGCCATTTCAAAACACACAGTTAAATCACTAATAGCTTAATTACTGTAATATAGTAAGTGTCAAAATAAGGAAGGCTGTTTTCTATATAAAAAATTAACCTTTTCAGGTATTTTCTTTGAGCACTTAAAATTACTAAACCAGGATTAAGGGGATGGATTATTTCAGCATCTAGAAAAACATCTTTTAAGTTTCAGGGAATGAGTTTCTCTTTTGAAATAGTTTGTCGTCAGTTCAAATGCTGAAAAGTTACTTCAGAAAATATTAAAATGAAATGAAATTTCATTTGTATGCTATAAATCATTATTTTTAATTGATTGAGAAGTTTGGTAGGAGGCCAGAGAAAATTGGCAAACATAAAATTTAAAAGGAACTGTGAGCATTTAAAGTACTCTCTCAACAGAGATAAAATTATTTATTTTTGTAGCTTTATTGTAGTGATTAAATCATAAGCTTTCAATCCATCTGACCTAGCTTTGAATCCTCGCATTTCAGTTTATTAAATCTGTGAGCTTTAGGCATGTTAACATTTCAAACTTTGATTCTTCTCACCTATAAAGAAGGAGCATTACCTTTTACCTACCTCCTAAAGTTATCTTATTACATGAAACAGTATATGCAAAGCATCTAAAGAGTACCTAATGTATCCTAGGCACTTAATAAATGTTTTATTATCATTAAAATATAATCATTTAGGTATAAGTGATATTTCCCACTATTTGCAAATCAGTGGGAAACATTTTTATGGACTTCTATGTACAGTTGTCAGCTTGGTGTGGAATACCCTTTAAAAAAAAAAACCAATTCAGAGGTAAACTTTATCTCATCTTGGGATGAACTATCAACTTCTGCATTAGTCAAGTTTTAACTAATGAAATTTTATTGCAAAGTATGGAGTAAGCAGATGATGAATTCTGAGTTTCTCATATAAAATTATATTTCCTAGGAGAGTGCGTAGAAGGGCTGCGGGAAAATGACTACCTGCTGATTCATTCCTGCCGCCAGTGGACCACCATTACTGCCCACAGCTTGGAGGAGGGTCACTATGTCATTGGGCCAAAGATAGAGATTCCGGTACATTATGCAGGTAAGACTCCTCCAAGGGCCAAGACGAGGCAGAGAGACAAAGGGGATGTGAATAGCTAAACTTTTCCTCTAAGAATTGTCTGTAAACTAGAAAGTAGAATGACTTAGAGAAGCAAACATTTGTGTGTGATTATCGATCAGTGAAAGCTCAGATTCATTTTGTTAGAAGTCTTTCTAATTAATGCATGTAGTTAAATGGGGATTCTTATTAGGTATTTATAAGATAGAAATTTTACAAATAAAACACCTCTATTGTCTTGGAATTAAAATCAATACATGTAGCCAACCTGGGAGCTTCAGGGGGTCATGTCTCTGAGGAATCCTGTATACAGTTTGAGCATTGCTTTTGTGAATGACTTTGTGAAGATTTCACAAGATTCCATGTCACAAATTAACACTGTGGTCTGATTTTAAAAGTATTGGATTGGTAGCTCATATACCTGGATATGTCTCTCCTTTCAGTAGGCATTTAGATTACAGGCATCTGAGATGCCTTCGCTGCTTTAGTTAAATGAGGGTAATACCTGCCTTCTCACCTCACTTTGAACTCGACTCAATGCAACAGTGCCATTTAACTGATGTTTATTGAGTATATTCTGTGTGCCAGTACTGTTCTAGGAGCTTGGGATACATCTAGTGGCTTAAATAAGCTCTAAATAGTGATAGCTTATAAATGTAATTAAAAAAAAAAAACTTATGTTACCATATGCTTTTTCTGGCACTTATAATACATTATATAAAGGATCTTAGTCTTTTCTTTATTATTGTTCGGTATTTTCCAAGTCTGTTCAGAATGTCTTAATCAACTAACCGTAAATTGTGTAGCCCTGGACTGCCATTGTGTTCTCAAATAACCCCTTTACAATGCCCAGAGAGTTATTATTTGGAAAAGGGACCTTACTGTATTCCCACTGTCTAGACACAGCAAATGGTATTTGTTTGATGAATATTTAATGAATGAATGAATAGTTTGGTACCATTTTTGATTCCTGGGAATCTTCAATTGCCGATGCAACCCAAGGATTACTTAGCTTCTCAAAAATCCTTACTTAAAAAAATTATAAGAAAAAAAAATTTCTCTGGCCTAAAACTTAGTCCTCTAGAATTGTATTTCCTAGCCCTAAGAATAGCCTTCATGGAAGAAGAGAGAAATGTATAGTTGTAGAAAGCATTACATCTGTTAGATTGTAACTCAGGCAAATGGGGCAATTTTCATAGGGGCAGAGAATGAAACAAACCCCCTACCCTACCCGTTCTCTCGTCAGAGTGGTTCCTACTAGCAGTAAGATCCATGCTATTTTCAGCAAATCCAAATTCTGTTTCTTTGTGGAAAACTGGAAAGAAAGGTAAATTGCTACGTTGCTTCATCCTATATTCTTTTACCTAATCTGCTGTATTCTTCTATGAGGAAATTACATTTTAGTCTTCCCCCCAAAATCATTGTGAAAAGCTCTGTCAAATCAGTCTTGCCAAGAGTGCCCTCACTTTATCACTTCCTCAAACCCCTTTAGAGACTGCATCCTGCCACTAGATTCTTTGACTTGTTGAATGCCTTCCAGAGGCTGCTTCTAGTCTACTTCTCCAAACTGATCTTTTCTACTCCAAAGACTGAACCTCCCACTCTAGCTACATTAGTCATCTCACTGTTTCCTGAACATACTAGACACTTTTCCTTTTACACAGTCTCTGACTGGCTGGAGTTGCCTCCCTCAGCTCATCATTTCATCAGGAGGGTGCAGCCATCCTCCGCAGCCCCACGTGGTCTCCTGATGTGTCCCATTCATTTAGCACACGTCCTCAGTCTTCATTCAGTTACCTTTTCCTGTGTGCACACTCACCAGTTGGACTATACAGCCCTTCACAAGTTATACCAATTATAAAAAACACCTGAAGCCTTTGGATCTGCACTCAAAAGATAATTCTTTGTGGCCATGGGTGTTCGACTCAGGGATCTCAAACTTGGTTATACATTAGATTCACCTGGAGAGCTTTAAAAAGACTGATGTAGGGTCCTACCTGCAGAAGTTAATTGGTCTGGAGTGTTGGCTGGATACCAGAATTTTAAAAAGCTCCCCCATGGTTAAAATATACAGCCAGTGTTGGGAACCCATTGTTCTAGAATGAGCATCCACAATGTGAGATAAGATTTCCTCAAACACCCACAAATGTTTGTAAATATTTTGGTGTTTGGAACTTCTTTTTTTTAAAAGAACCATCCAGCTTCCATTGGGAAGAAAGATGTGATATTGTTGAGCAGCTTCCTTTTGATCCATAAGGAAGATGATAGATTGTGTTGCAAATGATACATTTTTAAAAAATGAAATGGAGGTGCCAAGACTAAGAGGAAATATGGGCACGAAGATCACGTCATTCAACAGAAAGGAGAGAAAATATATTAAAGAAAGAAGAGCTTGAAATAGGACCAAATAGTTCATGATCGTTTGCCATTAATCAAAATAGAATGAATGGTTGGTCATGAGTGTCTAAATGTTCTAAGCCGTCTTCCTGAATTTTCAACAAGAAGTTTAAGTAGAAGTTTTGAGGTACAAATAGATTCCAGCTGATCATTTTGTTTTGGTTTCATGTCTTAAGATAGCACCATGAAACTTGCTTTACAAAGACAAATTTAGTGATTTAGTAGTTTTTTTTAAAAAAAATCTTACAAACAGGTAAATAAGAAGGCAGTGTGGTTTTATAAGTGTTTTTTGTTTGTTTGTTTGTTTTGAAACAAGGTTTCACTCTGTCACCCAGGCCAGAGTGCAGTGGTGTGATCATGGTTCACTGCAGCCCTGAACTACTGGGCTCAAGGGATCCTCCCACCTCAGCCTCTTGAGTAGCTGGCACTACAGGCTTGTACCTGGCACCATGCCCAGCCAACTTTTAAATTTTTTGTAGAGACCAGTTCTTGTTTTGTTGCTGGTCTCAAACTCCAGGTCTCAAGCCATCCACCTGCCTTGGCCTTTCAAAATGTTGGGATTACAGGTGTGAGCCATCACACCTGGCCTGGGAGTATGTTTTGATTACAGTGTAAAATGGAGACCTATGAGTCTTGATATGATTGATCATTTCAAGGTTATAGTAGATACATTTTGTTTCCAAGAATCTATTTATTGCCAGGTTTCGCCCTTGGAAGAAAGAGAACATATAATACATTGTGGAGACCAAAAATCATTTATGTCTCCCTAGCTTATTTGTGCTCTACTTTTAATTAGAGGAAACCCTTATGTATGTATATGTTACCAATTTTTCAGAATTTCTTCTAGGTTGAAATGAATCTCACATTCTTTGAGGACAGTTAATAAACAGTAATTAAAAATGTTTAACAGAGTAGTAAAGCCCACCAGCTTTGTAATCAAACGACGTAGTTTGATTTCTCATTCTGCCATTTTTTGTCTATATTACTTTGGGCAAGTTACTAAACCTCTTTAAACCTTTGTTTCCTCATCTATAAAGTGAAGATAATTATAGTGCCTTTCTCTTAGGGTAATTGTGAAGATGGAAAGAGAAACACCTTTCAGAGTGTTTACCACTTAGTAAGCCTCCATAAATGTTAATGGTGATGATTATGATCATGTTAGCAACTAAATGTTTCTAAGGATTTAATTCTTTCTCCTGCACTACTAATTACAAGTCGAATTACTTTTCTCTTTATTCAAGCTAGTTGAATACTGACACCCCTCAATGTTATTTGGGCTGCTGTTGTTTGTTTTGCTTTTGTAATTTTATTTTGAAGTTGCAGTAGTATAGTTTACTCCCTTGTGCCATTTCCCCAGTTTTACCCATTTTTAGCATCATTTTGCCACATTTGTTTTTCATCATTCTTACCCTCCTCCTTCTCCACCAAATGCACATAAAAATACAGACAAACATGCTATTTATTTTTTTCTCGGTTATTTGAGAGTAGACAGCATACATCCCCCTAATACTTCACTGTGTATTTCCTAAGAACAAGGATATCCTCTTATGTAACCACAACACTGGTAGCAAATTCAGTACATTTAATACTTTAATCTACTGTCCATGTTCCAGTTTTGTTGATTGTCCCAATAAGACCTTACTGTATTTTTTTTCCCCTCCAGGACCACATCCAGTCTAGGACCACTTATAGTATTTTGCTCTTGTATCTCTTTAGTCTCCTTTAATCTGGAACAAGTTCCTCAGCCGTCTTTGTGTTTCATGATATAGACATTTTTTAAAGAATACAGGCAAATTATTTTCTAAAACAACCCTCAGTTTGGGTTTCCCCGTGTCCTCATGATTGGATGAGGCGACGCAGTCTTGGCTAATCTGCTCTGTGTTGTGATAGTGGCAAGGGATGTCCTTTGCTCCTTATTGGTGATCTTAGTTTTGATCATTTGGTTAATGTATTGTCCCGTTTCTCTGCTGTATAATTACCATTCACTTACAATAATTACCATTACTGGGAAATTTGAGAGTACATACTTTTAGACTCTGCAACTCTCTTGCTGTTTCCCTAAGTCTTCTCCCCCCACCACTCCCCTTTTAAGTAACTGTTGGTGATTACTGTCTGATTCCATTTTTACTGTGAAGGTGGCAAAACAGTGCTTTTCTAACTTAACTCCATCATTCCTTATTGTATTTGTTAGCCGTCATTCTCCTGTAAGGAAAGGCTTTTTTTCTCTCTTCTATTTATTTATTTTTTTACTTACCTGCTATTATGAGCATGGACTTGTGGATTCTTATGCCATTCAGTGTACTATGGTATGTTGCTGTCCTTGTTTCTTCAAACAGTCCTATGTTTCTGCATTTGGGTATAGGCTGACACCTGTGTCTCTGTGACATGCCCCCTTCATTTTTTAAATCATGTTCTTATTTTCTGGCACACGTAGCAGCCATTCTTTTCAATCAGTATTCTCCTTTGATCAAGGCTCTTACACTTTCCTATTCCAAGTAGTACTCCTTGCTTTGTGATCTTTGTTAAGACAGTCCCTTGGAGTTGGGCAGTGCACAGCCTGGGCAGCCATAGGCCACAGCTCCATT